ATGTACTTATATTATAGTGAGATCATATTAGTTTTGAAAGCTGTGATTAGTCAATTTATGCCACATGTTTCTATCATAATACATAACCAAAACTAAATAGTATAACCAGATTGAGTGTAAACCAATCTTTCTTCACTTGGTTTAATTCTGCAACACATCAAAAAGTGTTGTTGAGTATAGGTGAGGGTGTGGATGGGGGTCCTTCAATTCTGTTTTCATTTCATTTTTTTTATACACCTTCTGCAGGAACGAAAAAAAATGCTCATCAAAATCCAAAAAAGATTTTATCTTTCTATCAAACACAAAAAATACATTTAACTTTTATCATGTTTATATATGATATCTAGTGGATGCCAGACCTTAAAACTTTTCCAACTGGACAGGTTAGTCTGAACTCAGAGTAGTTTTTGAGGTCTTAACACAGCCATTTTTGTCCTTTTGTTATGATGAACCTTAATTTCTTTTCCTCCCTGTCAGAGAAATGTTCAAGAAATACTTTCTGAACAGATTGAATATATTGGATTATGATGGTGTTAATAGACTATTTTCATATTACCAACTTTTGACTCCGGAGTTTATATTTTTTTGGTAGTTGGACACTTAGGCGGATCCAGGTGTGGGCCTTCCCTTTTGTGGGAAAAATTTGGTTGATTATAAAGGGAATCAATGAAGCATGACGGGAGAGTGCCCTCCCTTAGGTCAGTCAGTGGGTCCCCCCTTATAAAAAGTTCTTGATCAGCCACTGGGACATCCTGGTACTCAGTCAACCATGAGCAATGTAAAGAAGTAAAATCAAGCTTTTAATCAGTACATTTTTTTGAGGAAATGAACTGTTTTATTTTTTCATTATAATTATAAGACAAAATAATCGGAAAACAGTAAACATGGTAAACTTTCCCCCCAAATTGCACAGATTTTATGTTTGATTTAACTTCTTTTGGTTGCTCTTACTTTACCGAGTACCAGGATGTCTAACCACAGATTAGGTAACCTGTAGAAAAATTATATAATTCGGAGTCAAAAGTCAGTAATATCAGTCAGGGGTACTACTTGTACAAGTAATCTTTATTTACTTGAAGAAGTAAATAAAATATACTTATACAAGTTAATTATATTGTTTGAATAATCTCCCCTTAATTTTCAAAAAAATTTACTTGTATAAGTAAATTTTTTTTACAATCCCACAAAAATTCTCAAGTTTTGAGATGTAAAATCATGCCTTTAACAATTTTTCTCAGGTTAGCTCATAATTTTTGATAAGAGTTCAATGTTTCATCTCATTAATTCAACAAAGAAACTGATTGAGCAAAGATCTTAAGTATTTGCGCAAGGCCTTCAAAAATTGCTCCTTGGGGGCTTGTAAATGAGCAGTGTTCTAAAGATAACAGACAAATGAGATTTTCATTGTCCATGAAATTACACTTAAATGAATAGTAAAGACATCTGCAAAGGACAGACAATTCAAAATTCTGTTAGAGCAAAGAAGTTCTAAGAATTCAAGAAAAGAAGATAGCATGACTTTTTTACTTGTATAAGTAAAAAAATCTGAATGTCTAAGGGACATAACTAGGCCAAAAAATAATTTACTTATACAAGTAAATAAAATACACTTGTATAAGTATCCTACAAATTTACTTATATAAGTATATTATAATTACTTCTTCAAGTAAATAAAAATTACTTGTACAAGTAGTACCCCTGACTGAATATGAAAAAAGTCTATAGATTGATGTTTAGCGTCCAGTGGCACATGTTTTCTTACCTAATATAGTTCATAAGTCTTACCTAATATAGTTCATAAGTGGAACATGTTTATTTCTAATTTTTACCACTATTGTACCAGTCAGGGATATAACTCTATATGGTTATATGAGAAAAACAAGCATTCTGAGAGTATTGCATGGCAATACATAGTCCCCTACCGGGTAAAAATTCGTTTTACTGGAACAAAATGCTAACTTGTTTTATAACTTGTCATGGTGTAAACAAAAAGTAAATATCATGTCAATATCTTCAAGCATGACTAAAAACAGTGTGGAAAACTGATTATATGAGTGAAAAAAACATTAGACATGTTTAATAGTTCTCTAAAATTAGACATGATGTAATACAGTATATATCTATTTTCAAATTATAATCAAATATAATCATGATAATGAATAGTTCCAAATATTTTTTCTTTCATTTGTCACAAACTAATATAGATTTGTAACTTATCTATAAAATGTCAACAACATTTATCTACACAATGTAATGTATTGAAATATATACATTAATAAAAATAGATTATTATCTAATTAAAGGATTTCTCTTCATAAATTTTTCTTTATATATATATATAGCATTCAGAAAATTAGTTTATACTAAACAACAAACAAACCTGCTAAAAAATTCTTCAAATAATTTAACAATGAATGTCTTTTAAAAAATGAGTTATCTCCCTTTGTACAGAAATATGGTTTAACATAGCACTCTAACATTAGATATGGTCCAGAGTTATGGTCCTTCAATGTTTCTATATATGTATACCATAGTTATTGGCAGTGTCTGTGCGACCCCGCATGTGGGGACGAGTAGTCAAATTGACATTCGTAGGCTACACGGAAATTATTGCAATAAGTGAAAAAATGGATTACTACTCAGAACCCGGACTCAGAAGTTTTATAAATGATTATATAGTAAGTGAACAGTTTTTCTCTGTTAATAAATATTCTTAAAATGGAAGATTGTGATATATATTTTGGGAAGACATAAATTAAAACTTATAATTAATTGGAACAATTTGTTCAAAACTTATACAATTCAAATAACTACATACAATTGTATAAAAGAAACTCTGAATCAATTGCGGCTTTAGAGAAAAGAAGACCTCGAAACAGAAAAATTAAAGAAGAATTAGTTTGATAGACTCAATTTTTCCTGTAGGCAAAAAATTCCAAACAAATTCGACAGGAAAAAAGGCCTAATACAAGGTATCTTTTTTAAGTTATAGTTTTAAATCGGATTTGATGCGTTTCATTCCTTAGGCAAGTTTTTTTATGTAACTTCTATCGAATTCTCTTTTTTATGGCGTAAATCATTCATGATATAAAGAATATGTCTACTTATTAATTGCTTCTTTAATTTATGTATACACTCAAGCTTTATTTTCAGTCGTTTTAGATATTTTAAAACTTTGGTTTCTGTTTTGCATTTTTCTAAAAAATTAAATATTTTCATACAGGAGTTTGCACATGTAGCTTTTTTTTTCAAATTCATTAAATTTTTATTCTTTTAATGTGCATTTACATTTTATCATATAGTTTCTAAATTTTATCATGTTTTCTTTTACAGGGACTGTACAGTTTTATTCCTTCAGTGTGTATATGATTTGCAAAGTTTATAATGTATTATCTAATAAATACAAATTTAAAATATTATTTGCCATTCTCTTCACTGAATTCACAAAATTCCCACATTACCAATTCCCGTGTATATTTCCCGTTTCATTCCCGATCTTATGACATTTTATTATAAAACCGAATGCGGGGACGCGTAGCCTACGAATGCCAATTTGACTACTCGTCGGTGTCGCGCAGACACTGCCATAGTATTTGTTCAGTTGTTTTCGTGTCGCGTGATAAGGGGACGACCATTTGATATTCTGGGGGGGGCCAGGAGGATTTGTTTTTGATCGGTTATTTATTTTTGTAAACTAAGAGGACAGATTATCTATTTTCTGCACTGTTGAAGCAAGATTTTTCATTTTCATTAAAGCAAGGGACTGATTATTTATTTTCACAACTATATTTATAATATTTGAAAACATACAATTTTTAAATTCATTTTTTATTTTAAATAATACATGAATAGTCCAATCATTATGTACCATTTAATCAGAATTAATCATCATCATCTGTAGAAATGAATCTTTTGAATTCCCAACTGCATATACATGTATTGCATACATACAAGATATTAAAGTTTGGCTGTAATTAGTGTCTTTTAAAAGTATTGCAAATCATTTATGCCGAGCGGAGCGAGGCTAAAAAAAATTTGAAGGGTTTTGGAGCCGCTGAAGGCCCCAAGTTGCTATAGAACTAATGATGCAAAATGTGTTTCCCATACCCTTTCTTAATCTGAAAATGAAAGTTCTGTTTTAATCATTTTTTGACAATATTTTGGTCTCAAAGCAACATGTATAGATTCAGTGTAAGACTTAAGTTTTAAGGAACAACATCAAAAGACAAAGATAAAGCAAAAATTTAATTCACATAGTTAAGTTTGTGGCTGCTGTTTTTTTTTAAACTCTTGATCAAGTTAATAACAAAATTACTAAATTACAAAAGGAATGCAACACTAACAGAATACAGAAGGGCAATCAATGAACAAAAGACAAATAAATAAGAAACATTGATCCCGTAAAAACAGGAGCTACGTCTGAGGGAGAACAGAACTTGCTTCTTGCAAGACACTTGCCGTGAAAACAATTTGATATGAAGACAAGCTTTTGGTTTTGAAATTTCCTACATGAGGCATTTGCCTGAATGTAGTTACTGCCATATGTAATAAAAGTGAGTTAAGTGTTCCTGAGACAATATACCTCAAGTTAAATGAAACCCATTTTTCAGACATTTCAAGAATTTTAAATAATATTTATACTTTTATTATTCAAAGATTTGGGAAGTGATTCCCGATTTTTTTTGAAAAAAAAGTTGAATTTTATGAAGAATCTGGTGCAATCTCATGCTCTCAAATAGACCTGCCGAGTTATTTATTTTTAATACATTGCAAGTCAGGTTATTTATTTTCAAACTACCACAGAACAAACCATTTATTTTTGTGATTATCAAGGCTGAGTTATTTATTTTCAAAATCCTCCTGGCCCCCCCCAGAATATCAAATGGTCGTCCCCTAACAAACAATAAAAAAGAATTGTTTATGATTACATTAATTTAGCATAAAATGAAATACATAAAAGTAAACATTTTCTTATATCACATCTTCTTATATATATTTACCTGTTTATTTAGCTATAGTTTTACTTTTCTTGTACATGTATCTGACTCGGTATCTGACGATGTAGCATGTTTCTTTGAAAAAAACAACCATGAATGGGAGATAATTCAAATTATATTACTATGGTACGCGCAATTGACAAAGAGAGTGGTAAATGATAAACTCATCATACGTATTAACGTCTTATTATAAAACATGATTCCTTCTATTCAGATCTACCAATAATATCTTTACATTTTATTTTTAATTTAGACTAAGTAAAAGCTTCAAAACTTAAAAATCAGTCCAAAAAAAAAAAAATGGGGTCACTGACCTCGTTTTCGATACACATAAACAACATTGTAGCCAGTGCAAACCAAGCACAAGGGATGCTCAGCAGAAACATCAAAAAAGCTCCACAGCAAACAAAAACCAATGCTGTCAATGCACTTATAAGACCAAGAGTGGAATATAGCGCAGCCATATGGGACCCCTATACACAAGAAAATATTGACAAAATAGAGAGGGTACAAAGAAGAGCAGCTCGCTATATTTTCAATGACTATAGTAACGAATCGATAAGCAGGCTTAACTGGATACCTCTCTACCAACGAAGAGTGAACATCAGATTATGCCTATTTTACAAAATTGTAAATGGACTAGTAGCAATTCCAACAGATACTTACCTATTTCCACTAAATAGAACATCAAGACACTACAATACCATGGCATACACCATCTTCAGCCCAAGACATGATTACTACAAATTCTCATTCTTTCCAAGAACAGTAAATAGCCTGGAATAAATTACCGGAATCGACAGTGAAAGCTCCCACTATCGAAGCTTTCAAGACACTAGTTACCTAGATGATGGAATGTTTTTATCCTGCACCAACTGTACAGCATGCACCGTATTTTCTTTTTTGATCTTTGATCTTTTATTGTAAATAGACATTACCAACACCTACGTAACGCACAAGTATTGAGTACTCATTATTGAGTTTAATTACTATATCTCAGAAGAAGAAGAAGAAGAAAAAAAGCCATTTTATAGCCAGATTTATTCAATCGGAACTACTCGGCCTTTCTGGTTGCACGAAGAAATTACGTTATTGTACTGCATAGCGAGAATGGCCGAGTAGTTATGATTGCAGATTTATTATCCCCCATGTTCTACATAAGAAAATGCCTGTACCAAGTCAGGAATATGACAGTTGTTATCAATTCGTTAGATTTTTGAGCTTTTGAATTTTCCCCGGCGTTCGGTATTTTTGTGTTTATACTTTTCATGGAATATGGAAATCGGGACTTGTAGTATTAGCTGTGTAACATTTATATAAAAAGTCCCCATCACATAAAAAATGTTTATTTTGTTGACCTTGTCAAGGATTTGTATAGTGAGACTCTCACTATACAAATCCTTGACCTTGTGTAGTACAGCTTGAATTGATTATTTATTTTAATAAATAGTATTTGTATATTTGTTCATGCATTGACTTATTGACTGACTCTGACAGAGTATATAAAGTAAGACAGTACTTTGATTTTCTATTCACATAGGTATTTACATCTTGGGTTTTCTATTTCTTTATTCCGATTGGTTACTCTGTGAACTCCTTTGATATTGAGGCACTCTTTTCAAATTCTTCACAGAGATATAGAACACTGAGACGTTATTGTGATTTATATATATATATTTATTATTCATATTCTGGAAACCCATTCTTTATATTCAGGTCAGTTATATTCTTTACGTTAGTATTTGATGCATATATTTCTATATTTTTATCTTGGTATGAAAGATATGAATGTGTTATGAAAATGTGTATGAAAGTCCACTTTGATTCCCACGAGTATTTTAAAGAGTTTATATTTTTACTTTAAGTTGGTATTTGCAAGACAAACGGAGAATATTACAGTTATTAATATATTATTTTTCATATTTGGCTGTTATTAGATTCCAGCATAGAATATTGTCTTGCATTGAATTTAACTAGATTATATACTATTTTTTATATTAAGACTTATGAAATCATATTAGTTCTCTATATTCAGATTTCAGTATGTGAAGTATAGAGTACAGTGAACTTTATAGAGGAGCACTGCTCAGTCCTTATATACACGGTAAGCTGTGTTCTGTGTTTACATGTTTATTTATTTACGTGTTGTCTTTTTTGTACTTATGTGTTTGAAATCATGTGTGTCTTGTCTGTGTTAATAAATAAATGTGTTATTTTTTAGTTTACGATTATCTCCAAAAACAATAGTGTACGTATTAGAATTGATTACTTTAAATAATGATCGTTGACACAAGGTGTTATTGATATCTGAATTTATTGCATATTGAACAGACAGTCACCGGAAATAGAATTTGATACAGATGCTTATGATTTGTAGTAAAACATACTTTATTAATTATGGTATATTTCGAACTGAAGTTAACTACTTGGATAATTTATATTTTATTTTATTGATATGGAGATAATTAGAGTTATCGTTCTTTGAACGTGTGTATTGTGTCTTATTGTGATTGATTGATTGTTGGTTGCTTAACGTCCAGTGGAATGTGTGTCTTATTGTGTGTTTTATATGTTACAGGGTGTTTATTTGAGATTGCCTATAATAAACCATTAGAACCCTACTCGGAGTTATTTACGCCCAACTTGATGAGTCTACACTTGTTAGTAGAAATTATAGTATTGATACTGTTATCTTCTTAGGGACAAATGATAACAATAAATTGCTATAATAATTGTCCCGCCCTTTTTATGGTGAAATATCTATAAAATAAATAAATTTAAAAAAAAAATGACTTAATTTTCCTTGATCAAAATTCCATAGAATTTGGATTGTTTGTTATTTTGCTATTGAACAAAATAAAGAAATACAAACGTAGGGTCACCGTGCTGGAAAACGATCGATATTTTTGATATTTTTGTTAATCATGAGTGACACGTCAGGGGCGGATCCAGCCATTTATAAAAGGGGGGTTCCTAACCCAGGATAAAAAAGTGGGGGGCAACTATATGTCCCTTTCAAATGCATTGATCGTCAAAAAAGGGGGGTTCCAAACCCCGGAACTAGTAGTATGACGTTACGCACGATATTGATTCTCAATTGGTAAAGTCAAGATTTGACGTTTTACGCAGATAATCGAGATCATTTTTATTTTCATTGGCAATTTTTGTTCTGCCCAACAATATGTATACTTCTAAATGTTGAACTGAATATGCATGAAATATTTCCCACTGGAAGTTACGCAAGCAACAAACAACTCGATATATGTATTTGAGTATGATAATAGGGTCTATATAAAATAAAAGACAATCTAATTAGAATAGAGAATTTCGTTTTACTACACATGAGATATGTGACGTTTGTCATTATTTTCAGATTGGCCCCGTTACGCTTTTATGACATGAGGTTGGATCGTAATCGTGGGAATTAAGAGTACAGTTATCGCTTTTGTACTTCTGTACTGTACATTGTTACGGTGCTTGCCCTTGGCTGCAAGACATGGATCAAGGATTAAAAGAAAAGAGGGGTGATGTGGGGGTTGGGCTGGGGTGCTAACTAGGCATAGTTTGGAATGGGACATGTAAAAAGTCTTAGCATTAAGCATTAACCATACATGTATACGTAGCTTTACGAGCCCCCTTTTAATCCACACCGGCTTACCACGAAGATAAATACATTGTAAGTGTCCTCCATTAGCTGCTCTGTCTGGTGAAGTACTTCTTTAGCTCAGTTTGTAGAGGGGTGCCTTAATATTACACTGATTCTCAGCAAATCGGGACCATTTGCCAAAATTATACTTGGAAAATAAATTTGTGTAAACCATCTTTTAATAATGTTCAAATGATTCGTATATATATGATTTGAAAGATTCCAAAGTGGTTGGTCTTAGTTCTTACTGTGAAAATAATATCGTGGTCAAGACTATGGTTCACTGTTTTCCACATAACAGATACGTTACCGTCATGTTTTATTTCCTTAGCAAACGAGTTTTCATACAAAGTGTCATTGCTTTAATACTTTCCTCCAAAACTATTCTAGAGGTACTATAGATGCTATTAATAGTCATAAATCTTGCTGGTAGACTCTGAAAAGTCAATGAATTGTTCTTGAATCCATATCTTATAAGAAATAACTGTGAAGACAAAAAACATAACAATTAGCTGTTCTTAATAAAATATGTATCAAGATATTAATCAAAATTTGTTTAAATATCAATTATCAACAACTGCTCTTGTTAATTTCATATTTTTTTTCAAATGTTTATATATCTTATCCTTTTTTTCAACTTGAAAATGAACAGATCACGTATCTGTTGAGAAGACGATTTTGATATTGAAAACTCTGTTATATCGGTTCTGGAACTATATATTATAAATACACTTTAATTGTATTAAGGTAGATAGCTCATATGTCTGAATTCCGAAATGATATCGATATTTCATCGTTATTCGAAACATAGTAAAAGAGGGGCGATAGATACCAGAAGGACATTCAAACTCATAGATAAAAAAAAAACTGACAACGCCATGGCTACAAAAGAAAAAGACAAACAGACAAACAATAATACACAAAACACAACATAGAAAAATAAAGACTAAGCAACACGAACCTTACCAAAAACTGGGGGTGATCTCAGGTGCTTCAAAAGGGTAATCAGATCCTGCTCCACATGTGGCACCCGTCGTGTTGCTCATGTTATTACAATTCCGGTTAATAGTCTAATTCGGTAGGTCAAATTTGCGAAAAGGGAACGGGATTGTACTTACGACATAAGGAACATATCCGATATCATCTGTGAAACGGATATTCCATAATGGTCAGCAAACTCTTGATGGCGTCTGTAGATTTACTTACGAAGGGATGACTTCAACTTCATTATTTGGAACTCTTGGTTTAAAAGCTTCATTGTGAGCAGCAACCCTCTATCAAGGGAACCATGATAGGAAATACAAGCCCGGGAATGTCGTTTCAATTGGTAGATATATACTCCGTATGCAGGCGCTGCTGGAATGTTGCTACATAGCAATGGAAAGTTCACATTTGGGAAGCTGAAATCATCTCTTTTGTCGTAATTTTTTGTTTTCAACCAACCCTCATTGTCAATTTATAGATG